TCTTTTACCTTATTTTGCTCAATTCAGTTGTTCATAAGATCAAAGTGGTAAAGACAATGTAAAATTTAACATTTTAATACTGACGTTGTATATTGTTTTACTTAACACTTTGGGGGAGTAACTGCCTCTGACATCAAATCAGGACATTTTTGTTGCTAATGTAATGAGTTGTTTTTTTTTTTTTTTTGTACCAGGGATCGAACTCGGGTCCTTGTGCTTGTGCAGCAGGTGGCGAAACCACTGAGCTAAATCCCCGGCCCTTAGGTAATGCGTTTTTGTAATGGCAGTCAGCAAATAAAAGGATGCTTATTATTAAAAACAAACAAACAAACAAACCTCTGCCCAGTGTTCCTGCCTTACAATTGGATTATGCCTTGCCTAAATGAATGTCACAACCATTTCCAGTGTTGTTCTCATATAATTCACATTCTAAATTGCTGCTACAGTGATCCATGTCCTTCAATAGATCCCTATTGCTTTTAGAATAAAATCCAAATTCTTTAGCAAAACATAGGGAACCCTCCAGGATCTGAACCCTAGCTAATTCTACACTTTCAGTTTTGTTTGTTTTTTGGTACCTAGGATCGAACTCAGTACCTTGTGCTTGTGAGGCAGGTGGCGGACCCACTGAGCTAATCCCCGGCCCTACACTTTCAGTTCTTATCAGCTCCTTTCATATATACCATGCTATAACTATCCCTTGCTATTTACAGTCCCATATTGTTTGCACATGCCATGTTCTCTGCATGGAATGATACCCATTCCCAATCCCCAGTGCCTGTCTGGCTAGCTCTTAATAGTTGTCTCTGAGAAGTTCTCCCTTAGTTCCAAGGTTGGACTTACATGCCTTCCTCTGTACCTCTGAAATAAGCTGTGTGTATTTTATCATTTATCACATGTTTATATGAACTTATCCAACACTAGATTGGTACAGAGTAGTCAAGAAATATTACTGAAATCAACTATACCAATCTATCTTTGATAACCAGGTCTTCACCCAAACTACCTTTCCTTCTTCTATACCCTAACAGCTATGTTCCTAAGCACTTCTGGAGAAAACACATAAACCATACACACACACACACACACACACACACACACACACACACACACACACACACACACACACACACACACACACACCCCAAACTGGTACCATTTTAAATTAACAGTGTCTCACTTGTGCATTAAACACCTAATAATCTTTTGATGGATTTCTAGTCAGGTCGAGCTCCCATTTTTCTCAGTGACCATTAAAAAATAAAAACCAAAAGAATGCTTAAGTAGAAGGGTTTAGAGTGCAGAGTAAACCTCCCTCCCCCTTCTATTTAATTCCTACAGGTGTTAACAGTCTAAGGTGCATCTTGCCCAATTTTTACATAATCTTTATGCAAACATAGTAGTGAAAACATGTACTAACAAAGTTTTAAAAAATTAGCTGGGCATGGTGGCGTACGCCTGTAATCCCAGCACTCTAGAGGCTGGGGCAGGAGGATCACCTCGAGTTTGAGACTGGGCTACATAGTTCAAGGGCAGCCTGAACTACACTGTGAGACCCTGTCTCAAAAAAAAGGAAAAAATTTTTTAAATTTAAAAAGTATGCAAACGTAGATTTATATCCCTTTGTGCCCCCAAACAAATTAAATCAAGTCCTTCCTACTATTCTATTATATATTTTTTTTGAGACAAGGTCTCATCTATGCAGTTCAAGCTGTCCTTGAACTGGCTGGCCTCAAACTCAGGGCATTCCTTCTGCCTCAACCTCCCCAGTGCTGAGATTACAGGTGTGCACCACCATGCCCAGCATTTCTATAATTTTTAAAGAGTATATTTCCATATTAGCACATACAGATTTTCCTCATTAACAGGTGCATTATTTTTTCACTGAAAGGACATACTATGATTGACTCCTCTGCTACTGATGGACCTTGTTTCCAGTTTGTAATTTTTTTCCCTCAGTAATTTCAATGCTTTATTCAAGCTCCATCTCATTTTCTAGTCAGGTCCAGCTCCCATTTCACTCAGTGACATTAAAAAATAAAAAACAAAAATGCTTAAATAAAAGGATTTGGACACAAAGGTGATCTTATTTATTTCACAAAGGAAACTGAAGCTATGAAATGTGAATTCCTTCAATTTCCCATTTCCCTTATCTATACACTGATCTATAATATCACCCATTCTTTAAAGAGATCTCTCATCATAATGAAATTTCTCTATGTTCACTAACATCCCCTCCTGTTTCCACAAGTCCTTCCAACAAGTAGTCTCTTTTGCCTTTTCCAACTCCCTCTATATTGCTTTCTTCCTCTAAGCCTGTGGAAGCATAGTTATCTTTCATCTTAAAACTCCTTTTATTCTTCAGAGCCTAGCTTCCTGAAAGAGTAGTCAATCTCTATCACTTCCTCACCTCCCAACTGCTACTCACTGTACCCCTGGCTGGATTCCAATTTCTGACTGCTAAAACTACTTTTGCTAGCTCAGGTTGTTGGAGACCTGCTAATTAAAAATCCAAAGATTCTTGTTAGGCCAGGCATGGTGGCACATGCCTGTAATCCCAGCACTTAGGAGGCTGAGGCAGGAGCATCATCACGAGTTTGAAGTCAGCCCGGAATATGTAGTGAGTTCAAAGGCAGTCTAAACTACATAGCAAGACCCTGACTCCAAAAAAAAAAAAAAAAATTCTTGTAAGGTCTGATTTTACTTCTCTGTGGTATATGTGTTTCTGTCTGTCTGTCTCTCTCTGGTACTGATCATTGAACCCAGAGCATATTTTTTTTAATTGGTACATTTTAGGTGTACAACATAATGACATTCATCATTGGAGATATGCACCTTTACATAATCTCTTGGTTATTATTTTTCCCCTCCCCCTACCCTCCCTTCAACCCCTCCATCCCTCCCTATTTACAAAGACTTTGTTTCCATTTTTTCGTTTTCTCA